ATGGGATTGTAAAAAACATCATTCGTGTGGCAAATGAATTGACACTCACGGGAATAGTAACTAACATTGTCCTATCAATATGTTGTTGTTTTGTGAATATACTAACAACTATGTTATTTTTGTAATGCCGTTATTGAAGACACATAACGAGATATGGCACCATTTTTAATAACTATTGTAGTGACACCTAAATTTTTCAATCCTGTTTTACTTTTTGCCCTCATGTGATATGGTAATTCATAAAACGTAGCATAAACCATGTTTTTTGATTATAATATGTGCGCGTGAATACAAGTAGTGCCTTTATCTTCTTCCAGTCAACCCTTGGGTAGTCTTCACGATAGTAATAGCAATTTTGCGTGTCAAAAACTTGATCTTGTTTATATTATGATAAATGTAAACAATATTTTATCGTGGTTATGCGGTAGTGAAAATTCTTTCCCGGGTTGAGATCGCACATAAGTGAGAATATGAAGCATTACGCATTCGCATGGGGTGAAACCGCAGTACTATTGTACGTGTGCTCAAAAAATCGTCCTGACAAACAAAAATCGCTAAAATCGAAATGCACGTCAAGAATGTAGGTTGTGATAACAGTTTGTGATAAACAGGTTGTGATAGTTGTCCAGTATTGCTCAAATCTTTTTCTTTATGTAATGTAGTTTTTAGTGCAAACCATGTTTTTGTAATACTTAAAAATATGATAAGTTGCGACAGATTTTTAAACACCCTTTCTCAGCAAGCATTATTTACTTCTGTGTTACGTTCTAATTTATACGCGATCAAATTTCGATGCCTATTTCCTATTGCTAGGCTGCAGCGATTCTTATGGAATTCAAAAAAAATTTCATTTTAGGCCAATCAGTTACGACACCGCGGAAATTGGTATAGGCTTAGCCGCAATTCTCGATACTTAGACTTCAAACTTGGTGAGGAAAAAGATTTATAAATATTCAAGAAAATATGTCTTGCACAAAAGATTTGAAGCTTGCTCACGGTAAAAACGAATCGTCTGAATTAATAACCTTGTGTATACTTTAAGCCTCAAAATGGCCATTTCACAGCGGTCAGATGTGTATGATGAGCTGTCAAAAGATTGCAGAATGCGTATTCAGAAGAAAAATTGAACTTTTTTAAGATATTAAAAAGGTTTCTCTTTGATAGGGCGATACAGAAATGCACAATTGTGAACCAGCGATTAGATTTTCGGGTTGAAACGTCTTAAACACCAATTTCTGCGGTGTCATCAGTTACCCAATTGGAATGCATAAATTTTGACTACTTCCGGTAAGATGGTACATTATTTACCATTTTACATGAAGTATTAAAAATTTAGGCATTCTAATTGGCTTTCCCTGAAAAATGTAAATAAATATGGCGATTGGTATTCAAGGACAAGAGAATCTCGCCATGTTGAATGTATTAAAATTGCAAGGAAAATCATTTGTATAAGTCATCCAGCATGGCGACGATAACGTAAATTGCACTATCTGGTAGATAGTGTTTTATCCACCGTTCGTACAACCGCTCCCAGGGCGCATGAAATAACAGTACAACTTTAAGGTACCTTTTTGCTGATCGTATCTTTATTGATCGATATAAAGTTTGAATTTTTATTTATGATAGACATGAAGTTGCGACTCGGTATAATTCGTCCTCTCTGGCATTGAAGAGATACGTTAAGCAGCTGTTGGGACATAAAAATTTCTGGTGGTTCACTGCTATGAATTTAATTCAGGTAAGTGGGAATATATAATGTAAAACTTTTTTTTCAAAAGTTATCCCCGGTGTATACCTGATTCCTGATTGGTGGATCAAACACGATAATCGCACTTGTGTTACTATCATGAATAATCGTACATTTGTTGTTATCGCTATTCACAATACAATATATGAATCATTGTTATTAACAACGGGGAATTTCGTTTAAGACCAATCAGCAAGTTTCTTTACATTTTCAGTAAACCAATTAGAATGCATAAATTTTGACTACTTCCGGTAAGAATGTACATTATTTACCATTTTACATGAAATATTAATATGCCGATTAGGTTAAAACGAAATTCCTCCTTGTTTTTGTTATTAATTATTAGTAATGATAATTTATTATTAATGATAATAATTAATAAATTATTATAATTAATTATAATAACATTGCGCCGATCAAGCAGTTGCAAGAAATATTGGTATTGGTACTGGTATTGGTACCCAATTCTGCGTCAAAGAAGGCGGTCAAGTAACCGACAGTTATCGTTTCATACTAAATGTTGTAGCAAGTATTTTTGCAAGTGCTATCCAATTAGGCCATCGAAATCCGAAAATATAACCGCATGTGCAATTTCTTTCAGGTCTTCCACTGTCATTTTAACAGCAATTTTTTCCCGTTATTTTTGGACAAATTGCTTGGTCATACACTTTCACCGAAGTCAGCCGCATTTTTACTTGGTCTTTCGTTTGTGACACCTCACATCAATAACCTGTACTTTTTAACGTTGTGTCGTCGTTTCGGTGCTTACATAGTTATTAGGTGGTTGTTTTACGTCAAACTCGCGTTGAGTTTGGTTATGTTAATGCTGGGCCCTGATTATACGGCATTATTATGTATTTTTATCGCAAGGTGGGTGTGTTTATCTTCTTATGCCCTTCTTATGCATTATGACATTGATTGCTCTTGCATAACCACAAAACTAGCATTTCCTGCTAGAATTGCAATGTTTTTCTTGATTGTTTTTCTTGGATTCTGGTTGTTCTTTGAAGTCATGCATATTGCACTGCTCTAAACCAATCAGATTGCAGAAATTTCTTCATATGATAAGATGCAAAAGTTGAATCTTTCTTTATATGTTATGAAAAGTAATACTTCACCCGTATAGCCTACATCACCGTTTAATTAATATGGTATTGAGAAACTATACGACAAATTGTCTGTCAGAAACACTTTATAAAGGATAGTGCATGAAATTTCAGTCGACTTTTTGCACACATATTTGATTTACATTTTACATCCCCTCTAAAAGGTGGAGTAATTACTTTGCATGGTTCCAACAAAATGCATGAAATAATTTTAATTATGGTTCAAGATGGCGTCGTGAATTTGAGCTTTTCTTACATAGCGTATAACAAACCTTTTCTCGCACACCGTACTTTGCAGTTCATTACGTGTCTCAGTTTTTATTTATTTTCTATTCTATTCTGTTTGCAAATTTAGTAATCGTGTTTTCACGGAAGGGACTTGTAAGCTTCTCAACCTCGTCATCAGTGATCTGGTTGACGAAGATTACGTCATACATCATAGAAAACAAAGCATCTCTGCGCTGGTATTCGGCACTTCCGCATTACTTTCGAAACCAGGCCAAACACTTGCGCCTCTTTTGGGAACATGGCTGCTGGCCAAACAGACTGGATACTCAATATTTTACTCCGACGAGGTCTCGGAAACTCACAACTCTGATTTATTTTTGGACGAGAAAAACTTTCACGATAGAACCGGAAATGACGTCAAATATGGATGTTTTCAAGTCTTGGTGTATGTTCCAATAGTTTGTGCTATATTACAGATTATCTTTTGGAGTCGTTTCAAATTGCATGGTAGACGCTTGAAAGTTGTGACGTCACAGAGGATTGGTGCCGAAATTGGGGGTGCTGTATAAAGCACAGTTTTGTCTACGGAAAATTTTCTATTTTAAATATTTTTATTAAATTAGAATTTTTAGATAGATATATTTATCAGAGTATCGAATTATTATATAATAAACTGCATTTACTACACATGCAGGCAGGTACTGCCACATATTAAGGTCCGTTTTTCGGAGAATACCAATATTTTCTCATGAAACTAAATTTTGAACGTGAAACATGTAGTGAACGGTGACATCGTTGTTTAGCGCGTGATACTAATTCTTACGGCTATTTTCGTTCGGAATATTCCTTTCCCATTTTTAAACGTGACTATTTCGAAAATTTTTTTTGTTGAGGAAAACGCCAATGGACGCGTCACTTGCGCTTTAGACTAAGGCCCTGTTCATATGAGCCGGGCTGGCCCGCTTTCCATGTGAATCAAATTTCAAAAACATATAGAAACAACTTAGGAAGCGGGATCTCGCCTCTAGCGAGTCACCCCGGCAAAGCGGGCCAGCCCGGCTTATATGAACAGGGCCTAATTTCTTACCTCGGCGATAACAAGGACATTTTCTGAAAGAGCATACTAAAATAAGTAAAACTGCCAAGTTTGGCTGCAAATTGTTGTAAATTACGGAAAATATAGCCATGCGAACTTCACCGATTTTGTATACTTTTGTATTACGGCCGGAAGTGAGTAACTAAATTAGTTACACATTAGCGCATGTAATACAAAAGTATACAAAGTTTGCCAACTTCGCATGGCTATATTTTCCGTATTTTACAAAATTTCGCAGCCAAACTTTGTATTTGCACTAATTTAAGTAAGATCTTTCCAGCAGTAGGCATTTATTTTCTTCTTGTTACTTCGATCAAAAATTAGTCTAAGGGGCTGTTTACATGAGCCCGGTTACCCGAGATTCAACGAAGCGCGAGATGATTTTGAGGTATTGAAATGAGCAGATAACATGATCCTGGCAGTCGTATAATCACCCAAACAATAGCATGTGCTTGTGCATAAAGACTCATTTCAATACCTCAAAGTCCTCTTCAACATTGGCATTTTCAATTTTGAACTATCTGAAATGAAATGGATTTCAAATCTTACTCATGCGAGCCATGTGAAAACGTTTTTTCCGGTTTCCAACCACCAAAATGACATGGCGTCTTTTTAATTTATATGCTCGGTTTCCCGGGCTAGCGGGTTAGGGTATTGAAATTTAATATAGCTCTGGGTTGAGGTTAGGGTTAATGTTAGGGCGTTTTGCCTTGATGTTATGTCATTTTGGTGGTTGGGATTTGGGAAAAAGTGACGACCATGTGAATATATGCAAAAGTATTAGCAGCGAGTTACCATAAATATTTTAAATTAGACAAAAATGTAAATTTAAAGAATATTCTTTATTTAAAAAAAATAACATTTCCGTTCTATTCAACAATTGATTTTCAAGGGAGCAAAATCCTTTGACCAAGATACTGAGCAACTAAAATCGGACGACCAAAGGCCCGTTTGAGGAAGACCCGGACGCGATCCGACAACGCGACGCGATTTTCACGAATTTTTCAGTTTTCAAAAGCTGCTAACCTTGACAATGTTGTGTATTCTCGGTAATTACTGATTGATGGTACCGCATTTTGACTGGTCTTGTACCCATACTCTCTCAAAATTTTCTCTCAGAATTGAATTTATTTATGTATGAAAATGAAAAATTCGCGTCGCGTTAGCGAATCACGTCCAGTGTGTGTGGGGCTTTTACACATGCAATTTATTCCCGCGATTTTCGTTTTTTGATGAATGAAGACGAGGAGATAGCTATGAATGCTCTGATATAAGGACCCTCATTGGAACACCCATAATTTAACCTAGACGAAAATCGCAGCATATCGCGTCGTGTGCGCCTGGTTTAATCGTAAGAATCGGTGATTATCGGATAGACAACACATAATGGATCCCCGATTCTCGGGCAAGTATGACCCAGAACCAAGTGTTTGGAAGCAATTCTTCATGCCTCTGGATGCGAAATTAGTTCATCTTTGTCCATTCATTTTTGATTAACAGGTTCACGTTTCATCCGGACGGTTTCTGTTCTCATCAATGTACTATAATATAGAGAAGGTAATATTTTGATAATATTTTTGTGGTTTATTTATGAAACAGCAACATCGTCTTTTTGTACATCGTTGCCATGTTCACATGTTGGTCAGAAGATTGATCGAAGCCGAAGGAAAACTTTAGGATCAAATCAGAAACATTGAGAGAAATGAAACTCATGTTTTTCGGCAGGAATTAAACCTACGGCTACGCCTCTGCGATTGCTGTAAAGCTGCTACCAATCAACGGGGTAACATGCTTATACATCCTCCAAGATTACCCAAGATTGGGAACCGTGAAATTAATTTGAAGTATTGAAATAAGTGAGTATTAGCTACATTTAAACAAGGACAAGGTTCAAGCAGCAGTGGGCCATCTTGGCAATACCATGTTTAAGTTGATCCAGATTCATAAACTTATTTCAGAAATTCAGAGCTCAAAATCATGCAAGTAAGTCGTAGTGCTTTATTACGAGACAATAGAAAGTTGGGTTAACGGCCCGAGACCGCTTGTATAAAACTCTTATACAGTGCCCATTTCTTTCCCTTAATATAGCTAAAGTTAAGTACATTTTTATACAGAGCTACGAAGAACCGTGCTCGTCCGAATAGACGAAAATTTACATTTGGAAACGATATTCCTGTCTGAAACACGCATATATTAGTTGCATACCTGTAAAGTGTCTTCTAAGGTCGTATATCTGTATGTTGTGTCGAGGTTTCTTGTGTAAGATTCGTACATTCGTCGACTGTTGTCGACAAATTGTTGAACCAAACTGAGCTGTTGGCGGAGCATGTCTGTCAAGGCTATTACCGCTGGGTTGTATGCAGTAACGGCTAGATATAATAAACAAAGCTAAAATATAGATTAATCTCCGATATATATTCGGCAAAAACTTTTTATTTGTGAATCTGTTGGTGATCGAATTACTTATAGAAAGACCATTGACCACGAGCACCCTAAAAACAAGGGTTCCGCTGTTCAAAAGTAAAATTCTGAAAAAAATCGTCACTGATCGCTATATAGTACAGTGCTATTACTAGCTCTATTCTCAAAGGTTATTTTTGTTGCAGGCTGCTGGAAAACTAATGGACCTAAATAAAACACTGGAGTGATTGAGTAGAGACAGAACGATACAATGTACCTTCGACGGCATCAGCATCGACCGCATGGCGAGCGATAGGACTGGGGTCGACATAACGATGACCAAGTGATGGACCGAGCGTTGCCATACCAACAGCTAATTTTGGTCCGCCAACGTCATCCATATTTACTTGGGTAGCGACATCGTGAGAGCACGCATTTATTTTATGCTGTATTTCAGAAATAAGTAATTACGTTACTGCCGCGATAGGAAGGATTTTCACGACTAAAGGTATATTTTAATGGTTAGGGCTACAGGTTACGTCGGTTTTGTTCCGTATAGCTGCGATATTATACCAACACACACCCGTGTATTATCAGATGAGTTTAAAAATTGTTGCCAAAGTAACCTTAAGGTTGTACACCACAAAAAGGTCATTTGCATCTTAACATACTTAATACCTGTTTTTTAGAGTCTAGTTCACAGCAGAGACATCAGTGTGCCAAATATGTCGTTTTAGAGCTTAGTTTTATGGTAGAACAATGGGAGAGTTTCTGCCGCAATAACTTCAGTACGATTGCGCAAAAAATATTTCTCTTTGGACGTGTATCTAAACTCCGAAACGACTGCTGAAGCGAACTTGTTCACAGCACGTGAATGTCCGAGCATGTTAGAATGTTAGATCAATCACACATTCAACATATTTCAATATTTCTGTTTTTATATAAATATGCAAATTATCTTTTTGTGGTGTACCACCTTAAGACAAGCTGTCAAGAAAATTTGTGTTGGCACACTTAGTTCTAAACGTTAAAAAATTGTGCCAATTTGTAAAACTAAATTAATACTGACCTTACTCGTCGTTTTACTTATTTCAGCAACCGAGGTCACTTTAGAAGATAAAACAACTGAATTTTTGCCCAAGCCAGACTGAGTGTAGCTGTCAGTTTCGTTTATTTTGCTAGAAAGACTTGCGGAATCAGAAAAATCAGTTGTGTAGGAATCTTCAGATTTCTTGGAGGTTCCGTGCCCTCTGCTGTCCGACTTGGATCGGCTTGAGGAAGTCCTCTTTTCTTTTCGTGAATCAAGAGAGCTGTAGCTGTGCTCGCTCGTTTGCTGCGAGCTTCGTTTAGTTTTCTTTTTACTTTTAGATTTCGAATGTCTTGAATCACTACGCGTCTTTGAGTGTCCACTTTTGGACGAAGTTTTGTGCAAACTTTGGTCTGTTTCATCATAGACAACCCTCTCAGATTTCGGACTATCCTTTTGTTGACGAGATTCATTATTCCTCTTTAAATTACTTGATATTGTATCTTGTTTAGAGCCTTGACTCAAATCTTCTTCAATTTCTTCTGTGATTTCGTCTAAAGTGTGTACCTCCTCAGAATCAGCGCTGCTTAAATCCTTCCCTGTTGACCTAACATATCTGTCGATTACTTCCTCTGATTCATCTTGGCTCAAAGTCATTTTCACGTTTTTCGTTAATTTTTGGGGAGCGTCGGATAACTCGAGGTCCGGCATAAGGTTCACTGCTTGAAATGGTCTGATGGAACTCGGTTCTGAGACCTCTGTCTTGTTTTCTTCTGTCGCAACAGAAGGCAGGGCCATAATGTTTGGAAGAAAATCATTATCGCTTGCTTCATTCTTGTCCGCTTCCTCGTCAATTGGAGCTACCCGAATCAATAAATGAGTATTAACTTGTAAGTCTTTCTGTATAAGGAATGCATTAAAGCAGAAAAAAGATCAGATAAGGGATATATCTACCTCATCCCCAGTTCCCTTAAGTTAAAACGTGGGTCACTGAAACTGATCTGTATGAATACACTGGACTGAGTATTTAGCTCGCCAGTTACAGTGTTGAGTATGCCAATCCATTCCTTGCTCAATTTTTCTAATAACTATATAATACAACTTCTCTTGATATTTTGCAGTTTGGTTTTTCTTACTTGCATTAGTCTCTGTTAATATCTACTGTGAATTGATCAGAATAAATGAAAGAAAATGTCATGGATATATATGGTGGTATATGAAGGGACAAAAAGACAAATGATAAAATAAAAAGTAAGTATAATACAATATAATGAATGACTCATAGACAGATTTTAATAGTACTGCAACAGAAATTTATGGCAAAAAAGTCTTAAGTGATGCCAAAACAAGTTTAATTGCTGAGATTCAGTAGATTCAGTTATTGTTTTAAATGCAAACAACCTTGACCTGTACCGGTTAAAAAATCTGTTTTTAAATATGGGTAGTTGTCCTGGCCTAAACATATTAAAAAACCCTGGCATATTAAAAAAACCTGGATTACTATTAAACCAAGTCTAGTCTAGGCCAAGACTATATTGGGGGGGGTGGGATAACATGAATATATGAATAGGTGCCCACCCCCCCACCCCCATTATTGTCTCCGATATGTATGCCACTGGTCTAGGCTGCAGTTCCCTGCTTGAGAAAAATTACAGATATATCACTAATTCATGGAATTGTAGCCTAAATGGATGCTTAGTGTACTGTCATAATGCCAACTGCACTTTTTTTTCACCAATGTGGAAGCACAACCAAGAAATCAGGCAAGAGATTTTTTAAAACATCTTCTATTTATTTATCATTTGTTTTAAAATCTTAGGTGTGAAATTTGCATGCTTTCAGTCTGGGTCCACAACCACTGCTAGCTAAACATTTATTTGACCCAAATTGCATTATGTGTAGCCTACACCAAAGATCTTTGGTCATAACAATGTAATCATTTGTATTTAGATGTACACATTATAATGTACATGCTACACAGAATGCGCAACTTGGGTTAAATGTGTGCTGCTCTGCATATATGGTATGAATATAGAACTCAGGAATGATTCGTCCAGATTGTTTACACATCTTGGGGGTAAGTTATTCTTATTTAACTTTTAATGGTACACTATGTTGCATGCAATATTATATGTGGTATTCTTGGCAGTGTAATCAACATGTGACTAGATTGACAGTTAATGTTCCTCCTTTCTGTGTGCTGTCTTGCTGTAATATGTAAAATGTAATTGTTCCAGAATAAATACAGGAAATCTATTATATTCAAGGTAGTTTACTGCATGATATTAATCATGAATACTAGTGGTATAATAACAGGCCTGACTAGCCACGGACTGGTCCTACTAATAACAACAACCAGCAACAAGTTAATAATGATTATAAACTGTCTATCAGTAATTATTAACTTAATATTCTTGTATGTTTGCATGGTGACAGTCAATAAGTAATTTAGCTTGTAATTTAATACTGCAAAGCTTTCGGTCTGTTACCCACTGATACTTACATGGTGTACCTACAAGCTAAATTACTTAATTATTAACTTGTTGTAGGTTGCTGTCGGTTATTAGTAGGACCCGCCACTGACCTGTAGAGATGATAGTTAATTGCATGATGTTCACAGATATACACACTTAAATTCGCTGTAGCATATTATTTCAGAAAACCATTCGTTCTCTACGAGTGCACAATACGAATACTTTTCCAAAATAACGGCTGGAGATTACGGTCCTACTAATAACCGACAACAACCGTCAACAACGGAGATTACGGTGAATTATATACAAATGAAATTATTTTATACCTTCTCCATCAGATACAGAGGAAATTGAGACATCTGGTGTCCTATCAATCACTCTATCAAATGTATTTCCAGTCCATAAACGATTTAGTCGATTTACTCCGGATTTTTCCTTCATTTTTCCTAAATACTGTTCTAACTCGTTATCGGAAAATGACAGGTCGTCTTCATCCATGAGGCTGGATTTTACAGTCAAAGAATTGCTCAACGATGTTTGAGAAATTGACCTTGTCTTTTGAAACGATGCTCGCCATTTTGCTTTTGTAGACATCTGATCCCTTTTTAATGAAATGAAGTGTAAATAAAAGGGAATTTTTGCCTCAAAATGTTTGTTTATAAACCTACATATTTTTAAATTTTAATAACAAAACAAACGAGATCTTGATATTGTGGGACAAATGGGAATACTGGGATGTTTAGGTACAACCAGGTACAGTTACTTAAAATATGATCACGTGGTCACACGTGATCATCGAACAGATGGATTTATGATTTATTGAAAGCCGAAGGCGCCATTCTGGGTTCAGAGTATAAAGCAGCAGAACAATTACTATATTGCTCCTTTTAGTATTCTCGTTAAATGCTAATATGGATTTAAAACAAAGTAATTTTCGTAAAAAGCGATTTTCACAAGGTAGGGATTTGGTTAGACATCAAAGGACACACACTGGAGAGAAATCTTATGAATGTGATGTTTGTAAGAAGAGATTTTCACGTGGTAGTAGTTTGGTTAGTCATCAAAGAACACACACTGGGAGAAACCTTATGAATGTGATGTTTGTAAGAAGAGATTTTCACGTGGTAGTAGTTTGGTTAGTCATCAAAGAACACACACTGGAGAAAAACTTATGAATGTGATGTTTGTAAGAAGAGATTTTCACGTGGTAGTAGTTTGGTTAGTCATCAAAGAACACACACTGGAGAGAAACCTTATGAATGTGATGTTTGTAAGAAGAGATTTTCTGATGGTACTAGTTTGGTTCAACATCAAAGAACACACACTGGAGAGAAACCTTATGAATGTGATATTTGTAAGATGAGATTTTCACAGGGTAGTAGTTTGGTCAAACATCAAAGAACACACACTGGAGAAAAACCTTATGAATGTGTTGTTTGTAAGAAGAGATTTTCACTGGTTAGTAGTTTGGTTAATCATCAAAGAACACACACTGGAGAAAAACCTTATGAATGTGATGTTTGTGAGACGAAATTTTCACAAGTTAGTCATTTGGTTAGTCATCAAAGGACACACACTGGAGAAAAACCTTATGAATGTGATGTTTGTGAGAAGAAATTTTCACGTGGAAGTAATTTGGTTAGACATCAAAGAACACATACTGGAGAGAAACCTTATGAATGTGATGTCTGTAAGATGAGATTTTCTAACAGTAATGGTTTGGTTAGTCATCAAAGAACACACACTGGAGAGAAACCTTATGAATGTGATGTTTGTAAGAAGAAATTTTCACGTCGTAGTAATTTGGTTAGTCATCAAAGAACACACAATGGAGAGAAACCTTATGAATGTGATGTTTGTAAGAAGAAATTTTCACATGGTAGTGACTTGGTTAGTCATCAAAGAACACATACTGGAGAGAAACCTTATGAATGTGATGTTTGCATGAAGAGATTTACTCGATCAGGCCATTTAACAAGACATAAAAAAAGGAAACACATATGAGAGAAAAGAGTACAATCAAACCATTGAAAGACTAAATTAGACTGTCAATTTTTTAGCAATATATAGAAACACAATGCATGTGTTTTGTCATATGCAAAATTTCAAGTAATTTTAAGACGTAAAGACAACTTTTCTGTTTTGACCATAGTTGAAATTATCTCCTATTTTCATCTCTAAGTCTTCAATCAACCTTGTATGTGCAGTCAAAGCTTTCATTCAAGTGAGCCCAGTCTCCAAAGAAAGCAGTCCATAAGTTTATGTTCATATTATTGAGAGGTAATATTTTTTGATGTAAATAGTTCTTACATGCAAGTGGAAAGTTTGGTGGTATTTTTGTGTTTTATAAATTTATGTTAGGTTTTAACAATAAGTTTTCCTGGTTTGAAATGTTTTCTTGCATTGAACTTAGCTCTACGAAAGAGTTTCCACTAGAAAACTATGAACAAGACTCTTTTATCAACGTTTACGGCCTTGTTTTGCGTTTATTAATCAAAGTCATAGAGTACTCATAGGATTTAACAATAATTGTGCTCAGCAATCGTTACTCCAGACTATTTATGAGACCAGTGTTGGTTAAGAATATCAGCTGCGGATTCAATGGCTGCGGATTTCCTGATCATTTTTATTATCCTCTAACGCAAAATATGATCACGTGGAAGACTGGAATGCGCCATTTTTTAACTGGCATTTGCACAGAATAGACATTATGCAAAAAATGGACACTATGATATACTACCATTGTATATAATGTCTATTTTTTGCTCGGTTAACTGTTATAAATAACAGGAACGCTACCTTATCGTTTTCGTGAACCCAAAATTTCCTGAAGACTAAAGTCGCTAAAGTCCCGCAAATTTTTTGCTTCATTCGCGGGTGACAAGGGCCTTTTGATCATCGTTTTGTCAACAATTTTTATTAGTACATCCGACATTGCTTCGTTTTGATCGAATATAATTGTAGTATTACCCATTAAAACAACAAAAATCGGGAAATACAACTACGAGGAGTGCGATTCAGAGAAGGCTTCTAGAACTATGAACTGAGAAATCAAGGTATATAGAAAATAGTGAAAATTTTATGGCATTTTGTGGCAAAAGGGTATACATGGGCCATTTTTTGTATACGAAGGCAGTATATTTTTAGGCCAAATATATTTTAGGCCAAATCGGCTGTGTCACTGGAGATGCAGAGCGAATTTGAAAGAACTTTTGTTTTTTTCGTTTCATGGTTTTAAATGTTTTTTTTTATGGGATTATAATGGAATTAATCTTAAATTCAACCAGGTGAACTGTTTTACAAATTACGACATAGGTAGCCCAAGTGCCCAACAATCAGGTTTTTGATGAAACAAGACACTCTTGCCAGTCTCAAATATTTTTTGACCACGCGCTGAATTACGTACATCACTAGCTCGGGTCACGTATATAGTATACCTTAGGTAATGGAGTTGCCGATCGCATTGGAAACAAATTCTCAAGTAGTGCAATTTCGACAACAATATTTGTACGAAACGGATATCCTAAAGCTAAAATTTCATCGCAAAATACTTATGTTTAATTAATTCCAAGTGACTAGATGGCAAAAATTGTATTAATTATAGAGTAAAACAAATCATTGCCCCGAGGCTCTACGCATTTTCCTAGCAAAGAACGTCTTACTCCGCATTTCCAAAAATAGGTCCATAAAATGCATTCCACTAACATCAAGAATGTCTCACCTGCCAGGAAATACTAACAAAATCAGTTATTTATCTCCCTATAAAAATTTTTGGTTGTTTTTATCATATTTTTAATACGAAATAAAAATAAAAAACTTTTGTTTTGCCCGTGTTTGTTTTTGACTTTTTGCGTGTAAAGACTGGGGGTGACTTAGTTTCAACTTCCTATTATATGTAATTGGGCGCTTCTAAAGCCGGTTTTCCGCTAGCGATATTTTTCGCGCGAAGCGACTTTATTTCTTTGTATTTGAGCAATTTGTTCCAGATGGTTGCAGTTGAGAGCTCTGCAACAAAAGTAAAATGTCGTTTCGCGCGAAAAATATCGCTAGTGGAAAACCGGCTTAACGTCGTAAATTACCTTTATTACATGATATTAAAATTTGAAACTACTTTTGAGTGGGCCAGGAACTAAAACCGGCTGTTTTCCATATATATGAAACCGAAGAATAAATGATCGACTTGTGGTTATTGTCAGGGACAGATTTCCGGTTGCCCATATAAAAAAAGCCACTAAAAACGTATAAAGATTTGTAATGACGTAATATGACGGCTGATATTGCATCATGCTGTGTCCTATGTAAAAAATAGCAAAATAAACAATTCCCTTCACAATCCATGGCCCTATGAAGAGATTTGAGCGCGTTTAATGAGGCTTCAAACATTGTACTGTACTAAAATTTATTCTGCAATAAATGCATGTTATCACAGCTGTTTATGCCGTGAAAGTGCTACCAGAAACGTGCGACCAGCACAATAAACGGCAGGTGCAATATTGAATCACACCCCTCCTGCTTGAGGTCACTTGACCAATCAGAGTTGGGAACGGGCTCACGTGAGACGATCGAGAGAAACAACAACAGTAGGAGAACGAATTTACAAAACGTGGTGCTTAGTTTGTTTTGCTCGTAGAAAGCGAAAAGTTTTTACATCAAAAGCGGGGCGAAAGGCTTGTGTATTTGCATTTGGGGGTGTTTATGAACTCGGAGTCATAGTTTGGAAGTAATTCGGGTTGGTTAACGTAGAGAAACTGCTGGAAAATGGCTGATACCTTCCCAACTGCAACGACCCTGCAACCGAGGTCTCCACAGAAAAATGGACAATCGCAGACCGATGGGCATGTGGACAATCATAAGCAGAAGCAGAAGAAAGTCAAAACTTCACATGATAACAGCAAAGAGTTGAACGGCATTAAAACGACGACGGATAACCAGCTTTTCGTGAAATCTGCGAAGGACAAACAGCACGATCGGAAATCACGAAGCGGACGAAAGGGGGAGCCGAAGAAAGGTAGGTTTAATCGAAGATGCTACTATATTTCGATGTTGACATATTTTGTAATAAATCTTGCAACCATTTGTGACAATGTCATCGAGCCCAAAGAGGATATGGCTACATTTGCGTGTTTAACAATCGCCTAATTTGATGCAAATTTTCTAACCCAAGTCATTCGTTGTGGTTTGGATACGAACGATAGTTCTTTTTCCACTAGTGTGTCGAGTGTCGTTTTCTGTGTCAACAGCACATCTCTCCAGACTTCTTTCCATTTCTATATTGAGAAAAGATAAGCGATAAATGGCTTTTGAATATGAGCTACTGTACATGTTATCTCTTGCATAATCAATCAATTACCCTTAGTCCTAGACTAGACAGCTTTAAAATTAGCTTTAATGCTTTGAGGAATTCAAAATTCTGATATAATATCGCAACAGTTCAATGTTTTAATTTGAAATTTTCAATCTTATTAGAGTTGAATCGAATATTTCACCCTAGGAAAATCCTTTCTTGCAAAACGTGCATTTGTGCAGGCGGCGATGACTTTACATGTTTGAATTGACAATGTGGTGGCATGGAAACATGATTTTCGTACGGTGGTTACACCCAATTTATTGTTGTTTTATTCAAATTATTATAAAAGCGATATTTGTTTTTCATACTGAACTTGGTGAGTTTTGCGTTAACAATGTTTCTCTTTGTATCTTATTAGCCTGTGTCTTCCTGTAAAAACATTAAAAACATTATCCCTTTAATCACCAGTCATTTCCTCTCCCCTAGGGAGTTAAAGCATGTGAGTGGGAATTTATTTAGATTTTAAATCCTATACTTCAGGCCCAATGCTGTAAGGCCCAATATATAGACCACTATAACTAAACTTCTATGCTCACATTTGGAAATTCCGATATATTGGTAAAATTTCATAGGATCATCAAAGTTCATAAACAAAGATTTTTCTTGCTGAAAAAGTGATATTTGAACTACTAGAAATTTAACAGAAATGAAAAAATACCAGTAAATGCTTGTCATAGCAATTAATTCATATTTTGTTATTGAATATATTAATATAGTAACAGCTTGAGTAAGCCAATGACTACTGGTTTTTTTACATACGTGAATCCTTACAGAGGCCATGGATTATTGGAAGAAACCAATTTTATTGCCAAAACTTGTGCATCATTTCAGTTTCCAGTCATTTTAGTCATCATTTAGCCTTTCTTGAGCAATATGTAAATGGAGACACAAACTGGCAAACTTAAAAGCATATTTAAGCAATAACCTTCAATTTTCAGTCTATATGTATACTTTTTTAAGTAAAGCCTGATAATGGGGACCAGGAGACCAACCCAATTCAGGAATTATGTTCATCTAACAATTTATATTGAACAAATGTGAAAATTTTGGGAAAATAATTCAGTGAAAGTTTGGCCTCAAAACATCCAATTTGACTGTAATATTTTATCAATTGAATTATCTCAGGTGGTGCAGGTGGAAAAGGGACATGGGGGAAACCAGGGGAAGTTTATGATGATGTGGACATGGTAAATGATGAACAAGACCCAAACTATGACTCCGAGGAAGCCGAGGTACTATAATTTACTGTTGTTTATTAATTTGATTTTCATGCAGATACATATGATTACATTGTATGTGTGTTTCAAAATGCACTCCCTTTAACCCTTTTGTTTGAGTATTTGTAAATAATGATATGAGAAGTTTGAGTTTGAAAAGGGTAGTTTCTAAGAGATAACCTAAAAAAATTCAAGTGCTTACTACTCATTGCAGGAACCATATCTTGAAGAACTTAAGCCAGAATTAACCGAAGAGGAATTTATCAAATTTGTAGAGCCTATTATTCAGGTAAATAAGGCATTGCTGTTATGGTTTTGAGACTCGTAAATTTTGGTTCTACAATTTTTAGACAGCAACATAAGAGTTGAACATAGATAGGTTTTCTGGTCAAATTCATTGGTGTCTCATCGAATGGAAGGCAAATGCACTCTGCAAAGTCATTATGACTACTTAATGCAGTGAACTTTGTTATATTTTGATATTTAATTTTCTAAAGACGTTTTGAAAAATTTTTTAATGCTATCCATAAAACTATAATTATGATTATTATTTTTATTACCTGTGTATGCTCATGCTATAATTGCTCATTCTTTCAACTATTCTTGGTTTAGGAATATTATGAGCATGGTGACACAGAAGAAGTTATTGTAAGTTTTTGATCAATGTTAGATGTCCATTACTTGGAAAGTGAAATTGCATATTTTGGGACCTACTTAAACCATGCTTAATTACCCTGTATAATGGCTTTGCTTTCCACAACAATGGAGTATTGTTTGCAATTGAGTATCAGTCTTAACTTTGATGTAACAAATGCTAATTATTACATAGCTTGGAAGATTTTAAATTATTATTTTAGCCTCTTTAATGCCTACAATATTTCACCTGCTCTTATAACTTTGCAAGAGGGCGTGAGATAGAGACCAAGATTATATTTGATCTGCAATTAATATTTAACATTTTTGGTACTAAGCTGATAATTTTCTTTTCACCTTTCCATTATATTAACAGTTATCCTTGAATGAACTGAACATCCACACATCTATGAAACACAAGGTATGCTTGTTTTGAACAAAAATGATATAATTTGATTATTATCAAATTACAAAAAAGATCTATATTTTATTTCTCTTATTTAGACCCTAGCATTAGCAGTGACCCTTGCAATGGAAAAGAAGGTACTGTACAACAGTTTGATACTTATGTTTACTCTATAAGACTTTATTATGAAGAAAAGTGAACACTGTAGAAACCTGAGGCCGGTTGTATGAAAGCCGGATAGCGCTATCCACCGGATAGTGATTTTTCAACCGTTCTAAAAATGCTCGAAAAGCGATAAAATTTCATTTTTGGGACCAACAATTATTAAAGAGGATACTCGATTTAGTAATACTAAGATTTAATCAAAGTTATAGCAAACAACGGGCGATTTTAAAGCGATTGAGGAAACCACTATCCGGTGGATAGCGCTATCTGGCTTTCATACAACCGGCCCCTGCTTGTAAAACAGAAACATATTTACAAGTTTGAAATTATAACTTGGTAATTTGAGAGCTTAAAATGTAAAAATACTGTAATAGACCTATCCAGTTCAGTAATTATATTGATATTTCTGTACCATTTGTGGTTTAGGATGCCCAAAGAGAAATGGCATCCATTCTCATATCTGATCTTTATGGCGAGGTCGTGACAGAAGATGAAATCTCCCAAGGTAAGTCATATGTACCAGATAGTCAAAAATTCCTGGAATTTTACTGGAATCTAGCCCATTCTCAGACTTTTTTGGCTCTGCACCAAAGAATCATTTAGGCAATTATGCATGCAAGTGGAATATTGTGGTCTTATTAGTCCACTGTGGTGGAGGCTGCATTATTGTAGACTAGTATGGTTAATAATTTAGGTATGTAGATTGCACTATGGTAGTCTACTGTTGTTAATTAAACTGCACTATGATACTCTTCTGTGGTTAATGAAGTAGATTGCGCTATGGTAGTCAGATTTTGTTACAAGACTGCTCTATTGTAGTCGATGGTACCTGTTAATGTGATTACACTATGGTAGTCTACTGTTGTTAATGTGACTCCAGTATGGTAGTCTACAGTTGTTATTGAGACTGCGCTACATGGTAGTCTGTGGTTAATTAAGGAGGCTGTGCTGTACGTGGTAGTCTTACTGTTGTTAATGAGACTGCGCTATGATAGTCTACTGTAGTTGATAAGTTGCTTTAATTTTTATCGCCGCTAGACACAGCACTTTTTATTTTTAGCGTTTATGGACGTTTTGGATGATTTGGAGGATGTTACCCTGGACACCCCTGACGCCCCAGAAGTAAGAAAAATCACTTTTTTAATTAATTTAACGCCTGCTTTACTTTAGCTACTCGCTTATTACTTGCTTTAAAAAAATTAAAATATCCTACAACTATTATTATCATAAAATCTTCACTTTACGTCTTTAGTTTAGCGACAACATTACCTGCACACTTCATTCGCCGGCCGTGTTAAAAACACATTTAGTCATTTATTGTATGACCGAAATTCGTGCAAAAATTGAAAAACTCTTTCGATAACATTTTTAAACCTTAAGCAGTTCAAATGTTAAAATGTGGACGGCATATACAATACTTTATGCAATGGTTTTGGAGTATTTTCTCTGGTTTAATTTCGGAGTAAATACAAAATTCTCCATTTTCGCGCCAAACGTTGTTCTTGCAAAAACCATACTTCAAAAGGATGATTTCGAGCGCGGACTTGGGCAGCCCACTACTAGTAGCGTACTACTAACGTAGCTAATCGGAATTCGCAGTACATGATAGCCCATAGTAACTTTCTGACGGATGCAAAAGAGGGCCTATGCCACAATCTTCATTCATATTGTTCAATGGAATTTAAAGTGTCACGTTTGTACGTGTGTTCATACGTTCACATACGCCAGGGTACGAATCATAAACGACAAATCGCGTAGTGTAAATGGGTCTTAAAATAGACAAAACACTTCTCGACGTTTCGACCTAAGGGCCTTCGTCAGGAAAGTTAATAGACGAAGGCCCTTAGGTCGAAACATCAAAAAGTTGTTTTTTTTTCTATTTTGGGCAGTTGTTTTACCATATTTGATGCTAAGTTATTTGAAGACGCTGCCACGCTGCTCCCTGGTTATATTGTATAGTAACTTTATACTGATCGCTGTTAATCTATACCCATTGTAAATCAATTACGATTTGTGACACTTCACTTGATGTAAAATGATGGTTTAAAGGTCTTCAGAATTCCTCACGGGGTTTTTCTATTCAGGTGTTGGGGAAGTTCATAGCAAGAGCTGTGGCAGATGATTGTCTTCCTCCAGCATTTGTGAAGAACTACACCGAGGACACTGGTGCCGAATCACTTCAGAGAAAAGCGTTGAGTCGAGCTGATGTGTTGCTCAAGATGAAACATGGTATGGTGAGACTCGACAATGTTTGGGGCGTTGGAGGTGGACGGCGACCAGTGAAACAACTGATTAAGAAAATGGTGTTGTTGTTGAAAGAGTATCTTTCTTCTGAAGACATCGAAGAGGTAATTTTGTAACCAGCATGGGTAACCATGCTCTTTCTTGAGAAACATTCAGGTTATACATTCAGGCTTCTATAGAGATCAGTGGGTGCAAGATGATCAACCACAGGGTTAATCAATGATCTACATCGTTTGGCTATCTAGCCTATGTAGGTTGTAAGAATTGCTTGAGGAACAGTTCACTCATCTTTTCGTACTCCACCCCCAGTCATTTGTAAAGACAAAATTATAAACCAGGAATTTAACACCCCCCCCCCCAAGTATATACGTCTGCCTTTCCACTGTATGTATTTTGAAGTTATGGAAGCGTATTTACCCTTGCAGGCCAGTCGTTGTTTGGAGGAACTGGAGGTGCCTCATTTCCACCATGAACTTATCTACGAGGTTAGCTCCTGTTCTGTTAAATTTACTCTCCTAAAACATTTTAGCTTATTTCACATTTAGTTGTGAGCATGTCAAGGTGGTTTATGTACTGAAATATTCCTCCTGTACGAAAAATTGTTTAAAGCAATTACGAAGGACAAAATTGAAACTAGGCTTTAAGAGACCCTCTTTTATAATTTGATACCTACGTCATGATATTTCTCAGCCAATCTTTTAGCTCAAATCTAATTGCTGCTTGCATTTTTGCATTTAGGCCATGGTCATTTTGCTTGACAAAGAGGACCAAAGAGTTGGAAAGAAAATGGTGAAATTGTTCAAAGCGTTTACTTTGAGTAATATTGTCACACCTGATCAATTCACTTCGGTAGGTTGAAATTAGTTTTACAAGTTTCCTTTGTAATCCTGGATCAAATTTAACCCACAATCAGGGAAACTTCTGGTCCGTGAAAAATGTCAATTTAGGGAACTCTTTCCCCCATGGGCAGTTCGTTATTATTGCATACAATTACAGTATATCCTCATTTTTGCCCCATTTAAGCCTTGCGCCCATTTAGGCCTGGGGTAAACTCTCCCCGCTCTTCCCTCTAAGAGGCATGTTGTGAACCTCCTATTGTGTGGGTATCGCATGCAGGTTGTTTTAATTCATTTTTGTTGCATAGGGATTTGAACGAATCTATCGTTCGATGGAGGATCTGAGTCTGGACTCACCTCACGCGTATCAGATTCTGGAGTCTTTCTGCAGCGATTGTCTTCGGGAGAATGTCATCACTGAAGAATTGAAGAGAAAAATGCCGGCAAGGTAAGGGACATGGCATATTTTAACTATATACTGGAGCCCCCAGGCCCTCTTGTTGGCCCCGCCACTTCCTGGACCCATTTGGTCTCGACGTGCGGTCGTCTCTAGGTTTATGCAGGCTGTTGTACTTTTGAAAATGGTGGCAAAGATTTTTAGGGATTCATCTGGGTGTTTGTAAGACTGTAAGTTTCAAGAACAAAAGAACTATGGCGATCAGATAACTGCTAAAATCACAAGAATTGTATTAAATTGCGTCAAATAGCATTTCGGAGATTTCAGTTTTCAAAATTTTTCCACATGGCTCACGCCTGACGGGCTCTTTTGAGCTTAATGGCCCCCCAGTGTAAATTTCTTAAAATATCTCTTGGTGAGGAGGCAAAACGTAATGTTAGTTTTTAAACCATTTTAGCAGTTCTTATACTGGTGTCTATGTATTTTGATAGTTTTAGGGTTTTAGTTTTCCGTCAGGTTTTAAATCAATCTCAATTAAAGTCGTGACAACGACTATCATCAACAAGAAAGACAGTGTGAACGTAGCACACTTTCCTAGACTTGTCCAGGCCAGGTCTAGGCCTCTAGTGTAAATGCGGTTTAATCTAGTTACACATACAAAAGTATACAAAATTTGCCAACTTCGCATGGCTATATTTTCCATATTTTACAAAATTTCGCAGCCAAACTTTGCATTTGCACTAATTTAAGTAAGATCTTTCTAGCTGTGATGATTTATTTTCTTCTAGTTACTTCTAGTTACGGTCAAAAATTAGTCTAAAACGCAAGTCGCCCATTGTTAGCCCAAAATGTTGGTTAGCCCTGTTGTTTTAGTGCTTTCCGGCATTTTTTCAGAGGTTGAAAAAATCACTATCCGGTGGATAGTGAGTTTTTATCGACAAGCTGCCCCGGAGTCAGTATAAACTCATAAATCCATCGTTTGCATTTAGGGGAAGAAAGAGATTCGTCAGTGAGGGTGACGGTGGTGCGCTGAAGCATTAACCTTCCCCTGCAAGCTGAAAACCTGGTTACCCACTCTTTAGGCACTGCCGAAGAGATCTTTCAAATAATTGGTCCTTGTGTATTGTTTCAATATGATAATGAATTGTCAACGGTTTTGTAAATAGAATATGCACAGAGTGGCACCTGTAGGCCGACATGTGGAATTTTTTAATTCCTGGGTATTTTTATGGGGTATGTTGCCTATTCTAAGGTCTGGCGTCTTCAATTTTACTCAAACAGTACTGTGCGGAGGTGTTTGGTCACCTGCTAATAACCTTCGTTAAGTGGAAGTGTCCTATTGAAGAACCTTTAATAATTTCAACTTCATGAAAACCAAAAAAATCGTGATAAAAAACTTTTTGTGATCTAAAACTTCCACACAGTACTGTGGGATTTTTTTTTATGCTTGAGGTCTCCCCAACGGACCTATATATAACAACTTGTATTACCAAACTAGAATTCTTAAATATTCTGGTTCTGATGGTTCAAAGCCGATTAGCTTACCTCAGGATTATCAATACAAATCTGGAGATTGTGTTTTACCTATTGCTTTTTAATCATGTGAGATATGTTTAATGGTTTGGTCTGATAGATTGTTCTCATTTACGTCTAAGATCCGCCTTGTCGGTGCAAATTTAAGAAGAGATGACTCTGAGGTCATGTGAAAACTATCTATAAAGGTTTTAAATTAAAATTTAAAACGAACACCCGATGAGAAATACTTAAACGATAAAATCAATTTTTTTAGGACTAGAAAAAAGTTTAGAGTTAATCGTGCTTTGGACTGCCAACCCGAATTTTTGGCAAGTATAGTCAACGAGTCCAGTTGTAATATAGATTATAGTTAAGTCAGTAATACTTCAGAGGAAATTGTCGACTAGTCCAGAAAAATGCGACTACAAGTGGTGAAAAACGACTTGGCGTAAGCAACGATGACGTCATGCCACAATACCAAATGTCTCGCGTGGGATCCTTTTAGTTGTGTTTCACCCTTGCCAAAGATCCGGGTTCCTCGTATATGCACTGGGTACATGTGGGGTGAATTGTGGATATGATTGCGTACTATGTAGTGATTAGAATTGTATTGTGGGTACCAGGATTTTCAGCTGCCTGTAACAAAGTGTAATGCGGAAAAAAACGTGGCCACTGCCAATAAAACATGCTGTGAAAATTCATTTGTTTTCTTTTTTTCATTGTTGCCTAAGGTGATTTGCTCAATAGCGAGGAAAATATGGGCGTCACTCGTGGCTGTTGACGATTTGACGTTACCAAGGCAGTATGTGGCCTTATAACGGTCACGTTGCAAATTCCTGGAAAGCACGTAAAGACTTCGGGCCTGTTCAAGTGGTCAAACATTTTCCCAGTTAGCGAGCGAAATTTTCGGCAAATTCGCAAGCGAGATGACGCTTATTAACAAATAATACCAAAAACTTGCTTGCGTTCATATCCGTTCATATATATGACGCTAAAAGTTTTCCCACTTACCGAGATCTCGGTAAGCGAGAGAATATGTTTCGTTTTTCCTCATGCCATTTTGCCGGGGTGATTTTCTGTCTAGTCAGAACCGAACCGAACAAAACAATTTGGTTGGTCAGAAACTTTCGCCCATATGAACAGGCCCCCTTAGCATAATATATAAGGGCTGTTTATATGGTCCCACTTAGCCGAGATTCAACGAAGCGCGTGATGATTTTCAGGTAATGAAATGATTATATAACATGATCCTGGCAGTTGTGTAATCATCACAACAATATCATGTGTTTGTTTGGTTAAATAAAGATTTCTGAAGTAAAATCATTTGATTACATTATACATGCATTATACAGTACTGATTAAGAGCTGTATATTGTGTTATAATTATTCACTGTAGCCTATATAAGCTATTCTGCAACCTGATTGGTCGAGAGATCCACCGTATATCATCACGTGCAGCTCATATAAGGTGAGTAGCAAAAACAAAATGGCTGACAGTTTTGCGAACTTCAGTTGACGAAGAAGAAATTTAAACACTTTTGTCGAGAGATTCAAAGCAAATGAAATGAACAAAATATAACAAAAATATTTTGGTGTTATTGAAACTGTCAAAAATCAGCTCTTGCTAAATATACGTTTTGCAATTTGCATGAACAAGAAAGCTGCATGCTTTTGGCTGAGCTACGTACCCGACTCGGCGGCTATCAGCCAATATAATATACCACCCGAACTCGTGGTATAATTGTTAGTTGTTACACTCACAACAAAGACTTTGTTATCATTTTCTTCGCTTTAAACCAGACAAATTTACCCGAAAGAAACTAAATTCGATCGAAATGTCCTTCTAGGATTGAAGCAAGAATGTTTTGCAATCTTTACTTCAGTAATTTCTCCGCATAATGTTTCTTTAAAGTCGGTTTAAGTCGGTTTTTTCCGTATGAAGCCAATTACAGCTTTGTTTCAGCTGATTATTCGGCTGCAACCATCCGGATTAAATGCCGAAAGTATTAACGCCAAACCATTCGACCGAGCAATTCGGCAAGTGATACCCTGCTTCGTTTCGATAAAACAGCGAGTATTTTAGAGGTTAAAAGTTTATCAAAATATCTATAGCAAAATTATTTTCCAACAGACGCCAGCAAACTAATCTAAATGTCACAACGATTGTTACAAAACACAAAATGTTACAATCGTAAAACCCGACGCTCGGTGTTGCCCGGCCTTTGTCGCCTGCAGGGCGTAACTAGAGCGATGATTGGGGGGATAAATATTCACATATTCAGTTCTGCCCGATGAATTTTTTATTGTAAGCTATTGCACTGCACTTACAAAAGAAATCCGTAGGGCAGAACTGGATAGATATTCATCTCCCCAATTATCGCTCTAGCTAGTTACGCCACTGGTTGCGTGGTACGAAAGATGCTTTTAGCAATGTATGTCTGAGTAAAAGAAAATTACAGTACCGCGGCAGCCACGAAACGAAAGTTCATCCAAAACAAATTAAAACCTCTAAAAATACATCTTTTATGTTCAAGAGCTTGTGTTCACCTGTTTATAAAACCTTATCGCTTTCAAGAGAAATCAGTCGAGCATAGGACGAATGTATGATTATGTGCATGCATCCAAGCAAGCTATACGTACGCTTTTAGCCACGGCCCTGTTTTATACGAATGTAATCTAATCATAGCTCATTAATTGACATGATATTTTGATGTTTAGTACGACGAAATGACGAATACAAGCTTATGTTCGATACAGTTTAAGAGTCATGTAAATCATACCAAATTTGCATCCAATACCATTTCGTATCGCTTCACTGGCTTTTCCAGTGATATTAGCCAGCATCGAGGGGCATGTACAATTCAACCGCGTGTAATTGACAGAGACATTGAAATGTTAATGCAGGCTATAAGTGCGTAATTTGAATGAAAATAAGTGCGATCCAGTGCCTGGCATTGTTTTCGCTTATACATGCGTAAACAGCGATTTGGACCGTAACGAAGCTAGCTACGACGTAGAGATGTCTCGACTGATTGCGACCCAAGTCGCTGTAAAAGATTTGCAAAATGTCACCGAGAAACCGGCGACAACAGCGGAGGCGGAACCATCAGAAGAGAAGAAAATCGACTTAAATCCGAAACTTTCACTTGCTTTCAGAGGTATGGAAATTCCATTGCTTAAGTAAATAACTAATCTTGAATTTATATATTAGTCAAGGAGACAAAAAGTTTCATCTTCAAAATTTCTTAAGTTTCCTTTCGAAATTCAACCAGCTGATGCCGTGTTTTTATAAGAATCTAATAAGGCGCTTGAACTAGGCGTGTGAACTTCCGTGAGTTTTGCGTTGTAACGGATTTCGGCAAGTCTTCAGCCAGTAATCCATGCCTATTATAACTGTTGACTTGGAGTACCTCCAGTCACGATTTCGCGAAAATGCGTTTAGACCACGAAAATTTAGCTCAAGTCAAGTTGCCGAATCAGAGAATATTTCAGTCAAACCAATTCGGGTTCTAAATCGCGGCATATGTGACAACAATGAAAGAATGTTAGACACTTGGACTCGATCGCCTTTCCGCTAAACCAGCCTAAACCAGTGATTCGTGTCCAGACGGAAGACAACATTTGTCGAATTGTGGTGTTCGGTATTGCAAGCTAGCGCATCATGCATCATGCTTCTATGCTGCACGGGCACCAGAGCGCCGGCCGTTGGCGATAGCATCGCAATGTATCAATCATTTCGAGGCTGGGAAGCTTTGATTTTATTAAGATTAAAGCTGGAAAGTTTATTGTATTGTATTGTATTGTATTGTATTGTATTGTATTGTATTGTATTGTATTGTATTGTATTGTATTGTATTGTATTGTATTGTATTGTATTGTAAAGAACACCAAAACAAGTTTTATCACACTATGAGTATATTTAGCCATGATCAATGAGTATATAACCAAATCAACAAAAAAACAGAAATGATAAAACTCGATTGGCTCGAAGATTGTTGCGCTGTTTCCTACAGCGCAATTCCTTGTCAAGTTTCCTTGACGGCCGTCACACACGCCCGAGCATTTTTCCTTGTTGAAAAGCTGGCATGACTAGCTTTTGAACATGGCTCCTGGTCAAGGAAATTTTGTCAACTTGTCCCCTACACACGAGCAAATAAAACTTGGCAAGGACTTTTTCGTCTCTATGGGGCATGCATATATGGGTTTGTAAACATTGACCACATATAGAGACGACGAGTAATCAAGAGTGACATGTATGTTTGCAAAGTGCATCAGACAACCGCCTGCCATGCAGGCTATACAGCAGCTAACTGCCTGCCATGCAGGCTATATCAGCTAGTGCATATGAGGCTTTGGGTTTAAGCTCATGCATAAAATGGATTAAATGGTCACGATCACGGAAATGCTCATGTCGTATCATATGCGGAAAATGACAAAGTTTGTTGAAATTTCTTCTTTATGTTAATCCATTCAAAGAAATTCAAGTTCCAAAGCGTAGCTAAAGAGCATTAATCATAGACACTTATACGTGGACTCGCCTTCTGCACGTTGAAACTCTAGGAATACACTGAACACTAGGCAATATATTTTGTTCATATACAATTGAATTTATTTGGAAGTTAATATCTCGATGGGTGAAATCCAAGCGGGCAAATCAACGTAGCCTATAATGTGCAAATTATATGTATACTGTATACAGCATATAGTATGCAAAAACCGCTGACATACAGGCTCTTAATTCAATGACACATCATTCAGAAGTGAATTGGATCCGATCGTATGAACAGAGTTTAATTGTTAACTTTAGCACGTTTACCGTAATTTGTTGCACTCTTTCTCTGAGAGTGAGTTTCTTGTAATTCCTTTTGTAAGTGGTAATTTTGCTGACAAACGTGTCACTAATGTACTTAGATACTCAATGGACCTCTTCCATAATAGACCAACTCATTATCCAGGTGACAAGGATGAAATAAATCACCACAGTTAAAAAGAGCATACCGAAATTAGTATAATTGCCAAGTTTGGTTTCAAAATGTCAAGTAGCACGGAAAATATAGCCATGCGAATTTGGCAATTTTGTATACTTTTCTACTACGGCCGGAAGCGTGTAACTAATTTAGTTACACACGTCCGGCTGTAATAGAAAAGTATACAAAATTGCCAAATTCGCATGGCTATATTTTCCGCACCTTACAATATTTCGCACCCAAACTTGGCAATTTTACTAATTTTTGTATGGACTTTTCGGAAATTCTCTTTTTGTCTTCAAACTCAAAAGTTGGTCTATTATGGAAAAGGTCCATTGTTCAATTATTCATATATCACTGGATTGTGTCTGTCGGAGCTCGGGCAAAGCCTATTCGGTTTCCATTTAGCCCTTAATGTCGTGAACAAGTCATTTTCACCGATGAGAAATAGTCAGGATGTATATTTCTCTTCATTTCTATATTTAAATCGGTCATTGTTGACTGCACGCAAACTAGAAATATTCTATCACATAAGCCACCTTGACATGTTCACGACACTTACGATTAAATGGAAACAAGGCATTATTGACAGTTGTAATGCACAGGCAATATAAGCTTACGTTCTCACGGGACTGGACTAATTTGGAACCATGTTCGAAATCCACACTGGCCCAGACAGGACGCGATTAGCAACGCGGCGCGATTTTTCAAGGTTTTCCACTTTCTAAAAGCAA